GCTAGAGTACGGTTCGCTTGCCTACTTTCCGATTACCCGAGGCGAGGCACAAAAGATCGAACGGGTCCAACACGTTGCTACTAGGCTCATCCCGAGTTTACGTGGCTTTGGGTATGAAGACCGGTGCGAGAAACTAGGGCTCTACACTTTGTCCTACCGTCGGGTGCGAGTCGAGCACATTATGACCTACCAAGTTCTACATCTTGGTGAGTTCCCCATGCTAAGGCCAATACTGCACTTACGAGGACCATGCAGCACACGCGGACACAGATACAAACTTGTCGTGCCGGATATGAAATGTGTTCCCCACCCACCGTGCTTCGAAAGGAGAATGGTAATCATTTGGAACAGTTTGCCCGAACATGTGATTGAGGCAACATATGTGCAGCAGTTCAAAACGTTGTTAGATTTGTATTTTGCCTCTATTCGCTTCAGAGAACGACTGCACACTTACGATGACATCACATTTGTGAATCCTGAAATATCATAAGTCGGATATTTTAAATATTACGTGAGAACGACAATAATATTCACGGTTGACAATTTTATGACGTTTTTCGCCATATATCGAAAGAGTTGTACAGAATCCATTTCTACTTGCTCTATAATACAGTATTCAGTATTCAGACTATATCTGGTATATTAGTAAATTAACTCATTTACTACTGGTATTTACTTTTATTCAGGTATCCCTTACTACTTCCTTAAAAACTACTACAGTAGCGCTAAACATAAATGTCCAACCAGATGTAAAATACTTTGTTTTATAGCATACAATGAAACCAGAAGTAACTATCCCACAATAACTACCTAAACTTTAGATTAATACATAATTTGATTCGAAAATATGCTCAAGCTGGGCCTTTAAAATGAGCACTGATTTCCTCAAAATGTATATCGTGAACGGTACTCGAATGTAGTAATAATACAATTTCAATGTCAATAAGCCTAAGCCTTATAATCACTACTTATTTAAGACTTGTCCTTCTGTGTTGCAACATTGCAAGTTGGGCTAAACCCGCTTTAGATTAATAGACGCAGATCTCAACATTCTACCATGAAATAGGAATCCATTGTGAATTTTAACTAGGCAATTTACGTAGATGTTAGATTATTTTGTATTTGATTCCGTGTATAATATTTTGTGATTCCACAAGAATGGTCGAAGATCTCTCAGGCAATTCATATGAAAAAAGCTACATTTTGTAAAAAGCAACATAGCCCCTTTGTCAGCCCATAATACAGTGTACAATAATAGATCCGCAATTAGTCATCCCCAGTGAACACTGAAGCATTATGGATAATCGATTTCTCAGATACTAGAAATAGCACATTCTTTGCGCAAAATACCCAAACTCACATATTCAAAGCCAGTTATGCCAACTAACCTGAAAAATACAATTGTAAAAATTTGTGAATGCATTCTCAACATCTCGATGATACGTTCATTTTGCAGGAATCACAAGAACTTGAGAATATGAAAAGTTATGTAGCTTAGCGTCTGAAAAATACAAAGGATGGCTTGTTAAAATACTGTGCAATCGCACACATTGTTATAATTAATGAGTATGTTTCAACAAAATTTTTGATTTGCACAGAGACCTTGCAGGCCACTGGATATTAAACAACAGTTAATAGATTTCATAGTCACATGATGGAAAACAGATAAAAATTAATTACTGTGTTTTCGTAGCACAGATGGATACAGCAATTCTTCTAACATTCGTAGGTGGCCATATTCATCGATTTTGGCGACAAGAAAGCTGCCAATTCATTCGGCCAAATTAACTTAATGCTTCCTAGCCCCAGCTAAGTCCGTTCACGAAATCATGGAGAAATCGCAGAATTGAGCGCCATCTGGCTTAGAATTATAATAATATTGCAATAAGCAAACATGAAAAGCTTTAACAGACAAAGTACCGGCAACATATACTGCTAGACAACTAGTCAAGACAGGTGATCAAGGTGACAGTGAGAAAGCGTTTACGGCCTTTCAAAAAGAAAATGTCAGAATGCGGAATGTTGCAAGACAGTAACCCTTACTGGACGCTAATGAGAGTAACTGCTTCATGGTAAATATACTCTCAGTTTGGCGCTGTGGGATATCTGAGTCTAAATTCATTCAGCGGTTTTTGGTACATAACGCGAAGAACATCCCACGCCTCACGCTTTTTTCTTACCAAATGCGCTCAAATTTTATTTGACTGAAAAGAGGAAATAGCGGAACTTACGGGGGAAATCAACTACTAGTGTAGTAAACTGTGTCAAACGATTAATACAGACTGTAGAACTGTTAAACGTAGAGTCAAGCATTAATCCCGAAAACGGGATACTGGAAATGAAGTTATATTACATACGCGTCTGAGTCGATTCACCGCAACTAGTCCGCGCAAGCGCGTGAAGGCATTGCATTGATTCCTGCACATATACTGCTTAATGTTGTTTGCACCATACGCTATTTGGGTGCCATGCGCTCCCTGGATGTAAAATGTGTCTAGAATTGTGTTTAGAATTCGCTTGAAATCCAACATCGGATATTTACTATTACGATTAGAATATTTACAAGCATTCTAACTTCAGAGTAGTTTTGGTCTCCAAGTTATTAGTGCAACAATGCATTTCTAGTATAACAATCACTTGCAAATTTATGACATACATATATGTATGTGAGCAAACAAAGCAGAAACACCTTGAATTTGTGGTTGACCAACATTCTGAAATCCTCGGAATATTAAAGTATTTTAAGACTGGTGCATAAAAGCAAAGGTTGGCATTAATTTTTCGAAAAACCACAAATATATGTATAACTAAATATTTTAGTAGTACTGCATATAAGCCAGCACAATAACGCAAGGTTAATCATTGTAATTCCGTAGTGACGCATTGTACATTGCAGAAAATATGGCGAATTTTAATAAGCGGATAAATACGTATTTCTGCTGAACGTGTGTTAATAAGTATACTTCTTGTTATATGTTTCTTTTGACAGGGTAGTAGGGTATCACGAATTGAATGGTGTTGACTTCCAAACGGCGTCACCCAAACGTTAAGCACGCTAGTACAATGCGCGAAAGCAACCAACGATCAAGCAGGATACTCTAAAAGCTCAAGTGCCAGAGGTTGTAAATAACAGACTGTTAAGTACATTTATCAAAAAGAATGAAGGTTTTGGTTAGTTAAATGAAATATTTCCGAAGGCGTTTCTTTGGAACCGTGAGTGCACAAAATTCATTGGATGATTTAATAAGATAATCTATTAAACAGCAGGTGTTTTGTTATTGAGGGTCATTTTAAAGAACACGTTCTGTGTATGGATTGCCAAACGCAACATCAACAATGACCGAGTATCCCATTGAAAAGAACATTGGGTATTTGGGCATAAAGGCCGTAGCTGAATCAGCTAGAAATTGGCTGCTTTCCGCCAGAAAACATTGCTCTTCTATGACACATAGTGATGTTATTACATCTCATCAGATATAGGTGGCAGGCATCGAATCCGAGACCATATGGATGTTAATTCTAACAGGTACCCATAATCCACTGGGTCACGATGCGCAACGCTTGGCTCAACGGTTAATTTTTAAAAAATGCCACTTCATTATATCCAGAAATTACAAAATGCGACAGTAGCATCAAATAAGCTAATTCATATTATTTATTGCATGGGAACTGAATAGCTAGGTGAAGGTTTTCTGCAGATGCGATTTACAGATGTATGAAAGGGATTCTGCATGAGCATAATACAGGTAAAATCTTTTGTAGCGAAATGCTACAAATGACACCCACTTTAATTTTGTTGCCCCAAATAAAATTCCAAGGATGTTGCGATTTAACCAACGAAATATGATTAGAAAGATTAACGTGGACCTAGAATAAATAGTCAATTGAGGATAGGTCTTAACTGTTCGCTGTAATCAGAACTTTGTTGCAAATCTTTTATGAACAATCCAGGTGCCATCATCAATGCATGCTGTAACTTGGGGAAGCCTATGGATACTTCAGTGGGAGCGCCTGCTGATTTTCGAAAGATCCTCTTCCTTAACAGCCTAAAATAGAAATCGGTTATTTGAAAATTGTTGTTTATATAATGTTGAGAAATTGCAATTTCAGCGAAGATTCGAAATGTGTTTCGGTGACGTCGAGTAGACAGCTACAAGTAAACTAATGGTTTACGAAATACTAACGCACTGCCCCTTTATTTATTCCTCTGATTGCAGTTGCGCTGTCTTTCTCACAACGGAAGGATAGATTTCATGGTTGCACTGTTGTTCACTTTTTGTTATAAGGTTTAGATTTTTAAATTGAACTTATGGAAAGCCGTGTGTATTCTAACGTAACCCAGTACATTAATTAACAAAAGGCCAAGTGCAGACTGGCTCTAATAATATCCGGTCGACCACCGCAGCTTCACGTATCCGACGTACAGCCTTATATGGAATCAAGTCAACGTTTAATCCATTATGTAAATTGACTGTAAAATAGGTGATATCTACTTGTCATTTTTCTTCATTCTGCGATCAGCATAGCCAAAATAAAGTGTTAGAATTTGTCTCAGTTGAAACGTTTCGTCGTGAAAGCGTTTACTATTTCAACCTGCACTTACTAAAATTATAATACGTGTAAACAACAGCCTGCAGATTATGAAACTGGGACATGGTCATGTATGTTACTGTAAAGACGCCCGTACCAAATGTTAATCAATGGATTTAATGTTGGCATAAATGCAACTATTCTGTAGCAAATGTCTGCAGCATAGCCTAGTGGAAACCTACCGTTCGTGGAGGACAGCGATTATTGAATCATTTTATTTTTTAATAACGTGCATCCAAAAAGCATGGAATTATGATCAACTTCTCGTCACATAAATTGTTGCATCACACCAGCTTTTTAGATTAGCAAAATCACAATGTTTCTAGTATGGAATAGTCAGCTGGTCATGTTACAAAATGTGACATTTGTACTTAAAATCCCATCATAATGAATGTTTTCTGTTGCCCGCCATGAGTAGTTTAAGATTAATTTGCTCCCTATCAGGTATGTGTAACATGCGTCAAACCTGGGTCCATCTAGGTCGTATGTGGGACCCAAACCTCTATAAATAATTAGCAAGAGAATTTTCAATTGAGGTTTCATTTAAAAAAATCTCGAGAGAACTGAATTTCAGCCAAACACCTACTATAAATGCCCATATGTTGGTTTGTAAATAATTATATCTGCATATACCAAATGCATTTGACACCCTCCAATTATGCATTACCTGGCGAGTACTTTCAGGTCAATATAATAAACTTGCAGAACTGCTTTATACACGTTTGGCGGGTTAATATTCGACAGGTCCACTGGACTCAGTGCGCATGTATATGCTAACTATTTGGTAAATTACGTCAAACTATTCGAAGCTTTCGGCAGTCAGCAGTCGTGAATTCTTCTTTGACCAAATCCCTCGCCTTATATTTCTCCAAGCAGCCAATATTATGCTTCTTGAATGCTGATAGTAAGAAATCAAGGAATTCAAGGAATAAGTTTGCATAAGATCTAACCGATAGCAAAACAAATTGCGCATTAGCATTACTCATTTTTCGCCGACTACAGCATGCTGCTACACGTGTCGCTGGAATAAGGAGTTACCCTAGGTGAAAGACAACAACAACAAAATTATACATTATATTATAATGCTAAACATATTTTCAAGTTTATTCCAAACCACGATAATGAAAGCTGCAATGTGCACACAGCCGTGTGGTTTTATGATGGGATACGAAGAACAGACTAGAAATCAGCATTTAGTTACATTGAAATCCAGACAAAGATGCGCTTCATGAATGTGGATTTACTAACCTCTCTGGAGAATAAATGTCTCAAATTCTACGTTTATTTCCAGCAATATTCTCTTCAGTTCCCCAAGATATTTACAGTCGTGACAGTCATGTCTGTTATTAAGGAGATATTTGGCTATGAACGGAAGTGAAATATTCAGCCGCTGACGCAACATCACATGAAACATTTTTTGGATTTCAGCGATAACCTAGAAATAAGACGCTGCCATAGTTCCAGCTTCAAAATTGGGATAGTTTGAACTGCTCCACTTGATGTCGGCATTAATTTGATTGAAATAAATGAAAGGCTGGTTGATGGATGGCAGAAACTGACTTTGTTGTAGGACAAAACCGAAACCAGACAGACGGTTTTAGAAACCGTTAAGCATAAAATTCCGCATTACGACCTAACAACTTCCGTTCGGATTCCAGTTGTGCCAATGGAAGGAACACTAGTATGTCTGGTTAGTTAAACCAACACCGGGAATAGAGTCCTTTCTCGGGGAATTAAATAATGTTGCGCCTATGGAAATATATGCCATCATACTTAGAGTTTCGTAGCGATTCCACGTGTGTAAAATCTTAAAATAAAACCGGAATTAAATAGGTTCAGATGCCAATTAAACTTAACTATATACTGAACATTGCTAATAAATCGAACTACCTACCTTAGATTTCAGATGTGTGCTACATAGATAGTTTATAGCATAGATCGCGCACAAGTAGCAATAATTGCAATGCATAGATATTATAGCCCAGCATCTGAAGTGCACATTTAAGTACCCTGCAATTTATTTGTCTGCCCAATTTTCCTTAATTAACATGCTGGAATGTGATTTAATTTAATGATTCATATGCTTTGGAGATAAGGTGATGGTTGCTAACATAATCCTAGAGTACGTGCAACTGGCTTGTATCCTAACATGCTAGTTGGTTAACATCACATAGAAATACGAATGATTCAATGCAACGCACCTAAATGTGCAACAGGGAAACCAGTGATCCACTGGAACCACACGGTGCGCTTTTAGGGGGTAAATTTCGCATGAAGATTCAGTTCGTAATGTCAGCAGTAAGCAGCAGACTGGCTTGTGTTCGATTGATATCGGGGCAATATTTTGACACTAATAAGGCGATAAATGTTGACTGGCTTCGTAAAATGGTATTGATGAATATTTCAGGGGGAGAAAGGACGTCAGTGAGATTAACTTCACACTAATGAATTCACCTAGATATAATTAATAAAATCTGGGACGTATTTTCTAAGAAGGACGTTACCAGTTCTGAAGACTGCTGCTACCCGCACACAATTTGCCTTCACTAGAGCCGATTTAACGAAAATGTATTTTCAATATCGGCTTATTGAAAAATAAATGTGATATCGATACTCGTAAATTATTTGATTGGTTTCAGCTAGAGTGTTGTGCATATGGGTATAAAGGATTCAGTTCCTCAATATATTGTATCGGACGCACGAGCCTGCGTGACACAGCCTCACGACAAAGTATGCTCGTGCAATACTCCCCTTCTAGTTGTAAAACCCCTATGCTTTCACTGATATACGTGACCATAACATTCATGGGCGTTTTGGTAGAAAAACATCGGTGGGTTACGTTTTCAATAAAATGGATCACTTGGACGGGTTTTCAACTGAGAAACAGTGATAAACTGGACAGAAAATATCTTGGGATTAGCTTGCTAATCACTAGCAACTTGATTACAGTACGGCACGAATATAGGTGGTTGGCACCACTTCGTGACAGACGGTAAAACTTAATCCGGGGATTGACCAAATGGAAAGCGACGCGTTTGGCATCATGTGTCAATTGTTAGAGGCCTGGTTACGAGTGGGCTCAGGTGAAGGCTTAGCGAACCATTTGCGGAAACAGTGCTTCTGTATCGTTTATGCAAACGTAACAAGTGAACTTCCTAGGCGATGGGTCATTCTTAAAGACAGTTGGTTTAATGTTGACCTTGTTTATTAACGTGGAACTTAGTTGCACATTAAATAAAGCTTGTATTATCAGCATCGTAATGTGCATTGAAGGTAACTTTGTGATCCATGTCAGGCGTAAAACGTTTGCTTTTGAGTATACTCGGGTCGGGTTTGTGGGGACGAGTATTCATAACAGGGCCAGGATTACACTAACAGTCGGGAGGAAAGTGTCTTCTCAGGGACTGTTCACCTCTGAACAAATATCGACTGAGTCAACCTTACGTTGTTTCACACAACTAAGGGACAAGATAACTACAATAAATTAAAGTTGTGATAACGTTTTGTGCAAGAAAATAAACTCTAAATTTAGAGCAAGCTAACGAGCAGGAGACGGCTTTATATAACTCAGCGTGAAGGGGAAGAAGAGGATTAATTAAACGTTTAAATATTTCTATGCTTGCGTCCATCAAATCCTTAGCTACATAGTAAAACTTAGTCCGGAAAAGCACCAGAAGCTTTTCGCTCTATTATTTCTCGTCAGCGGTTAGCATTTCCTCGGTCCCCTCCTGGGATCGAACCCATGACCGCTAGAAACAGATGTCAACTAGCTAGAAGCTTAAGCAACTGAGGCATGGTGGACTTCGGCTGCGCTACATAATGCGCAAACAAACGAGATATAGCTTGACCTATCTTCGGCTGCCAGGCAGGTGAGGGTGACAGTGGCGAGCCTGGGAAGGTGATGGTTTCCTCTCACTAGGTCTTACATCCATAGCATACGAAACCAGGAGGAACTACATTTTGTATTGCTTATTACAATCAAAATTCTCCTACTCATGTGTAATTTGCTGAAGAGCTGCCGTATACACTGAAGTGATTGGTACGGGTGAAGTCAACTAGAAACTTTCTGGGCATTTCCGTACATTTGGAAATGAGCTTCATTGTCATCATTATAGACATTGGCTGCGGACGGAATATTCTCAGTTATTGTGCCGCAATACAAAGACAACTAGAACAAAAAACAACCGAGGCACGTCGGCTGACTCCCCAGTAACGAATGGGCATTTTCGGAGAGCTAATAGCTGGCTGTCGTGCCGCAAAATGAGTTATATCATGCATAACGAATGAGATCTTGATTGGAGGAAGAGGGTAAGCAGGAGGAGGATAGACAACGGAATTCTCAGCGCAAACGCCGTTGGGGCCTGCTCCTAGCCATGTCAGCAAGTGGGTCCAACCAAACGTGTTCATTGTCCTTAGGACACCAGCCAGGCAGTGGGTATGAACCAACTGACGCCAACTTCGAAGCGAAGGTTTTCATCTCTCTTAACCAAGTTGTGGCTTGGCCTCCCCTCATCCTCACCCAACCGCACCCCAGGCTCGCAAGCAAAGTAGGTCACGGGAGTCGGTGTGCTAGCATGCGCAACAAGTGACCAAAAAATCGGCGCCTGGTGCGTGATATAATGGTGCACTTTTTGCACTAAATACGCGACGCTGAACACGCTCATTGCTCACGCGGTGCACCCACCAGACATCTGCTAGGTTACGAAGGGAGCGACGATCGAACGTGACGAGCCTCTTTATGTCTGCGGATCTGATGGGCTAGGTTTCACAACCGTATGAGAGGGTTGGAAGGACAGCTGCGTCGTAAACGCTGCCCTTCAGTGCGAGAGTAATGTTGCATCTGCGCCACAGGCGGCGGAGATTGGCAAAAGTACCTCGAGCTTTTGCTATACGGTTCGTAATCTCAACTTCGATCCCCCGGGCGTTAATATAGCTGCCCAGCTACTTGAGTTACTGAACGACTTCTAGCCGAGCACCACCAAGCGTCAGCGAAGGGATGGACGCCTGCCAATCTTAAAAAATAATTTTGCATTTTAATGAAGGTATGCATAGCCCAGGACGATTGACAGCTAGTGCTAATCGGTCCAGTAAAGCCTGGCAACTTTGGGCGCTGTCATATTTGAGGGCAATGTCGCCAGCTTACTCCAAGTCATTAAGTCGCTCACTAGCACACGGTGTTTCCATGAATTCAGCAACAACGAAAGTAAAGGGGAATGGTGATAGGGCGCAACCTTGTCTCACATCGCTGGATATATTGAAGGGCGGTGACAGTTTGCCATAATTCCTTAATGGGCCCGAACTATGCGCGTACAGGGCTTTGATAGTATTAACATATTTTTCGGATACACCATTTCTCAACAAACAGTCCCAAAGTGCACAAAGATCCACCAAATCGAAGGCAGCTTTAATGCCGAGAAACACGACAAGGGGGTGGCCAATGAAGA